GATTTACAATCATATTTTGAGTGGATTTATTTACTAACGTGAATCATATGAATTGATGGTTACTAAAGCTTTTTATACTCTCAAGCACCTACCAATGACGATAACCTTGATATTAGCCTGATCTTCGCCGTAGTCGTTCTTTAAAGACACTTTGTATTGGCCAGAGTCGGATCTTTGGGCTCGTGCGACATTCATGCCAGTCATATCTTCTTTATCAACAATGTTTGCACCTGGCGGAGTTGGGCCACCGTCCTTGCTCCATTGAATGATGGGCTTTGGAACTCCTTTGATCGGAATCGTGAGGGAGAGCGGCTCACCTGCTCGAATTCGGATCTCCTTAGCAGCATTTAGACCTAGCCCCGAGGTGTCAAGTTTCGGGGGCTCTGGCGTATGTGGATAATTCAAAAATATGGAAACATGGGCTTAGTCAGTGTAAAGGAATAGAATAATTGTGAAATGTTTGGTACGAGGGAGGAAGTAAGTTGAATGAAGGATTGGGTATTAACGGAAATAATTACTTGGTAGATTTTTTGATTAAAGATGGTAATAAGTCAAATCGCCACTACTGAAGCAATGAGGAGCAGTGAGTAGTAAAGCTAGTAAAAAGGATGTGATGGCACACCATATTTGAGTATACAATATATTTAAAGAGCATCACTCTTCGCTAGTATAATTTTAATGATAGGATGCGCCGAATGAATACTCATAGATAGCATTCCTGTCAAATAAGCGACAGAAAAGCTGGGTTCCTTCTACAATGGTCCTCAAAAAGCAACTATTTTAATAACGGATTTCTTTTAATCAACATTTCTAACTTAAATTCCTATGGAATGGGCTTCAAAGATAAGATTTTATGAGAAGAGAACGGAATGCTTTGCTTCCATATGTACTTATTTAAAGAGCCCACATGATTTATACTCATTTGACTCTAAATCACAGTTTTTTTTAAATATATCCGCCTCGCTGAATTCTATGGGCATAAAAATACCATTTATACATCAAGAAATTAATCTCGATCCTCCTCATGTCAGAGTGAAATTCTTCTTCATCTCATTGTTTAGGATCTGTTTAGACCTCTGATTAACTTGCGACCAGAGAATAGATTAACTGGTTTGATTGAATGCTCATTAGGTATTATTCCTTAAATTCACCATACCTAATTATCAATTAATTCGTCATTTTGACGTCTGAAAACATCAAATTATACAATTTAAGCTTACTTGAGCATGGGTCATGTTTTGAAGATGTTTACCAGTCAAATATATCGAATAATGATGATTAAATTATTAATTAGCAGTGTGAGTCAGGTGGAGCACCTTCTCTTTGGCTAGTACTCCAATTTCTCATGATTTTGTGAAAAATAATCAAACCAGTTAGCAAACGAGTGTTGGCTCGTGCACAACCAATTTTGGCCTAAATCGAGCCAAAAAAGTACAATTAAACCGAGGGTACAAAGCTCACCTTTGCTGGGTTTGGCGAGGGCCAACTCACTCGCCTTACTCGGTTCACTGGGCCCAGCCTCGTTGATGGCTATCACACGATATTCATACTCACGCCCCTCACGCACCGTTGAGTCAGACATTTCACAAGAGCGCACCGGTTGTGCTGTGAGCTTTACCCAACGATTCAGCTTTGGCTCCTTTCGCTCCACAATGTAGCCGCTTATCGGAGCGCCGCCATCGTTGTCTGGGGGATCCCATTTCAGATCTATTTGAGTGGAATCGCGCTCGACAATCTGAACCTGGCCAGGTGGATCGGGTTCATCTTTAAAGAGGGTAAGGTGCATCAGAAGAGTGAAAAGCAATTAAGCGAACTCCTGAAGACAGCACATCTTGAAGGAATAATTCCCAAAGTTTATAGATATATACATGTAAATTGTTCAGTGGATAGTTAGACGTTCGTTGTAAAATAATTATCTATAAATAATGAATGTAAATGGCTCCTCAGATTTCCACAATTGTGGTAATTTCAGCTTGCTTACTTTCCAAAAACTTTCGTATTTTCCAGCGTTTAAAACTATTTTTCAAAGACATATCATGTACTGTGCAACAAGGAAATCATTATAATATAAAATAATTACCTTATTTTTGATCTTACTTACATTTCAAGGGTAAGAGTTTGGTAAAGAGATTCCAAGGTCGATCTCACCAGAGGACGATGGAGGATTCCTTTTTACCAGCTGTCGATTGGCTCTACTGGAACATTCTTGTTGACGCTGTTTCCGAGATAATCTTCTTCGATTCGGGTAAAAAGGTGCAACACTTCCTTACGTCGTATGACGACATCGTAAGAGCAGGGTGTCATCCTTACAGCCATATTCAAACTAACTAGCCAAGCTTAGCACACTTTCACCGGAATTGATTGAGATTGCCTCAGAAATAGCGTCAACTTGATTGTTTCAGTAAAGCCAATCAACAGCTAAACAAGAGGAATCCGCCTTCGTCTTCTGGTGAGATCGACCTTCGAATATCTTCAACAAACTCTTTTACCCGAACTAGGAGTGATCTCAACAATTATGAAACAGGAGAGTCCTTGAAACCCAACTTTTCTTCGCATTTAATTACCTCATACTATAAAACCTCCATAATACCGCAATTCACTATATGATAATATGATTCATTTATTATATTAATAAGATATGTATTCACCCTATTTCGTTTAAGGTGATGAAGGTCTGGTAGTAGAATTTACCCACAATCATATGAGTAGAGCTGACGTTTCCATCGAATTTTACATTTCCCTGCTTTCCCAAAAGTTGTTCTCATCCAGAATGGACGGCAGTCTCGACCTTGCATTGGTATTATCAGCACCCCCAGCGGAAGTCAAACCATGACAGTGCAGAAGGGGAGCTTGAAACGTTAACCACTCGGCCACATTGCCACGAGTGCCCTTGGGTCAAAGGGCAGATGTGAATTTCAAAAAAGGACAGGCATTTTGCCATAACATATTCTTTGGTGAGATTGTCGATGAAGCAAACGTATATTTGCTATAACAATCGACTACGCTACTTATTTTTCGTGTTTGAGTAGAGTTTCAAGACTAACAGCAAATAAGTAATATGAGATGTACTCACCCTATTTCGTTTAAGGTAATGAAGGACTGGCTTTCCCAAAAGATGTTCAATGGAAACCTTAGCTCTACTCATATCATTTTGGAAAAATTCTTCTACTAGTCCTTCATCACCTTAGACGAAATAGGGTGAATAGATTTCATATTACTGATCTACTGGTAGTCTTGAAACTCTACTTAAACACGAAAAATGTGTTATTTGTGTTAATACAATTCTCCACTTACCAAACGGATTCTTCGCCAATGTTTCCGTAGTCGTCTCGCAGGGTTCACTTGGTCCCTCTTTGCTGACGGCAGTGACTCTGAAAAGGTAGCGATTGCCTTCTTCCAATCGGTTTACTGGACATTGTGTACCACGTGTAACCTCAGACACCGTCTCCCAGCGGCCTTTTTTAGAGTCCATTTTTTCCACCAAGTAGTGTCTGCCGATTGTAAAGGCAGTCATATTAATGATTAAATAAGTTTAAGAAGAGTAGCAAGCAGCTGCATTGAGTCTACAAATTAGTTTATCTCCACTTGTTTTCTTACTGATAAGCATCAATGTTTAAGTAATTCTTGCAAAAATGGATGAAGAATTTCCAAATGATGCGATTAATCCTCGAGTTTTTTAGTGTAAGGGAAATCATGCATTAGGGAATCGGCGAATGCTGAACCGTCTCTAAAAAGCCACACAATAGCATGTGGAACAGCATAAATGTACTTCAGTCTAGGTTTGTTCATGTGTTACTTAGTTAATGCAAAATATTGTTTGTGTAATGTTGAATAAGACTTTCCATTCTCTAAGTTTAGACCGGCGTAAATTTGTGAAGAGAAGGAACCACAGGAATCCACATATAGCAAGTTTTGATAGTAGAAATGCTGCAAAAGCGGCAGGGTTTGTGATAGAGATAAACTATATGACTATTCCAACAGAAGAAATGTCCGACGCTAAAAGTCCATAAAGCTCTCCATTCATGTAATAAGTTTAGAATTATATATTTTGAGCTACTGGATGTTTCATAATTATCTGGTCAACATACTCCAAAAAGGCCTACTGCTTTCACTTTGGTACTGAGCGAAATATATATATATATTTATGCATAAATAAATAGATTACAGAACCTTTATAAATATAGCAAACGCAAGGCATCAAACTTACGTTATCTCCTCACCACCGTCATCTTCTGGCTTCTTCCATGCCAATTGACAACTGGTTTTGGTGACGTCAGTGACCTCCAAAGGACCAATTGGTTTGCTGGGTTTTCCCAAAACAACTACTTCCAAATTTGCGGTGTCCTTTCCGACCTCGTTCTCCACAGTAAGGGTGTAGAGAGCTGTATGACGACGCTGAGCATTCGATATGCTAACACTGGTCGAGCGTTCTTTGAAGCCTACCACAGTATCTAAATTTGTCACCAGGGGCTAAAAATAAAGTAGAAAATGGTGGCCGACGGTTGGCGAGTGAATAGTGGTCCTATACTAGACATCAACAAAGATAAAACTTAATCAGACAACAGTATGGTCAGCAAAGAGATAAATTGCGCCATAGCCTGGTTCTTGCGGGTAACAAAATGTTGAGATTCCCTTCTTGATCACCCGAAATCAAGTAATCCTGAATTCAGGAAAATCACACCTTGCGGCATAGTATCTGCAAAGCTAATAACAAATCATAATAAATCATAGTTGTTTAAAGAGCTACTCTTCATACGTTTAATAAGTCTCTAACTTAATAGAACCAAGGAGTCAGAAGCGTTTCTACATCCACAAGAGACGTCAATGAGAATAGATTGGTACGATATGACATGGCAATAATGTGAGTCTCGTTATTCTGATAACATATTTTTTTGGATAGAAATTGAGAAATCTATTAAAGATTGTAGTGAAATGATATTTTTCATACGTCGTTGTATCATCACACAATATGAGGTGATTTGTCGTCTTTTAAAGTTAATTGCGTAAAAAGGCTTATGAGCCACAGATGTCATATTGCTTTACTGCCCCATCTAATCATTTGATTATAACATCTTACATATAACAAATGCCAATGGAACTGATTCATTTTGTGAATTACGGAAAGACCCTTACCGAACGATAAAGTTGTTATTGATAAATCCAGATAAATTTTGTTTCCTCTTAAATTCACTAGCATATTATCACATATTTTTATCTGTCCGAATTCCCTTATCATGCATCTTTCATCGAAGAGCCTATTTGATTTATCATCGAATCGTTTCGGTTGTGAATATAAATTCAGTTCGTAGATATGAAGACCAAGATGGTGTGGCTTTCTGTTTGGTCGTAATCTGGCAGAGAACACAGAACTAGGTATGTTCCACAAGGTCTCCCTGACTTTCCGATCAATTTGCGGAAACAAGGTCGAATCAAAAGTAAACATTCAGTTTGCCCGTGTATGAGAAAATAAAATTATGCTCAAAACAGTTGATAACTGTACTCTAAATCTGTGGCTCTTTAAGGGATTTGGAAGCATCACCACAAGCAGCCGATGAATCTGTGTTGTAAAGTTTATGGGGATCAAGATCTTCTGCCTCTTTCCTGCTTCCATACAAATGCATAAATAGCTATACATACAGTTTGTACGAGTATGGCAGAGTTAGCCATTTGTTCAGAGATGCTATGCGACTGATTTTAGACTGTGACAAAATTTATCTCCTCTTTCACATGCTTGCTTTCGACCTGAGCCCACATAATTGAAAAGTAAAGCAGTTTCCCCTGCCAGATCAGGAACCAAGATGTGACTAGTGTTTACTTGATTCACACCTGTATCCGTATATATTGAAATGGTTTTCTGTGGTCAAGAAAATATCATATTAGTGTGTGCACTTTTGGAGATATGCCCTTTTCTCATCCTTTTTCCCATATTTGCATCCATACGAATGTCCATGTTGGCATGCAGTGATAAGCGATGGTGCACATCTCTTGAAAATATATTTACGATAGTGCCACTCGTTTAATAGCCATTTCTTTTATAAGTACAAACGATGAATGAAGGAGCGTTTGGATTTCCTCCTTGACAGACCAAACGTATTAAAGCCCATATTTCGATAAATTATTTTTTTATCCAATGCCTAAATGTGACAGTTTCACTGTATCTGGCAAATATGTGAAAATTTGCGCCCTATATCAATACTAAATTTGTTCTCATTCCTTGAATGAAGCCGGAAGAATTTCTAATATGGAGCTCACTAGCCCATCACATTGAGATACTTAGTCGCCCTAAGTTGCTTAATATGATTTAAGGACCGATAGTTAAGATGTTCCCATAAGGAAATGAATAGGCCTCACGATGCCATTAAATTTAGCTTAGCCTTGCCTCCCAAAGGTTGTTTCATTCAGGATAGATTGTAGATTCGATCTCACCCAGATCTCATAAGCACAGAAGTAGAAGCCATTAGAAAGCGGAGACCAAAAACTGTTTAATGTAATTTGAAACTCGTAACCATTAATTAACATAATTTAAATTTCCGCGAGTTAATCAAGCAACATACTACGGATATGCCTTCGTAGTTAAGCAAAAAATAAGAATTCTACTATTTTTGAAGGAATGATTCTTCTGTTTTTTGACATGGACAGAAGAATAAAGTGATATTACCAAACAAATGGAGCCAAACCTGTCGACAGCCCCAAGTTACGAGATGGTAAGTAAATTATAAACATGCGTATTCATTCACATTTCCGAGAAACCTGGACGCAAAGAAATGTACACAATAACTTGGTTACATTGTACTTTAAGCAAAGGCCAGAGATGCTTGACTATGAACTTAGTTATTTTGAAGCCTACTTAACTTATCTTAGAAAGCTCATGTATCGGCTGATAGTCTCAATAACTAATCACAGCAAATTTACATTAAACAAATTTTTTTAAACTTTTCGTTTTGTACACCTATGATGTCATAGAGATAAAGTAATATAGAAGTTGTTTGACCTTGTTTTCGCAAGATTGTCATATTGGTAGGAAGAATTAGAGGAACGCACCTAGTCCGGTACCGATTCTCGCTAAGAGTTAATAGATTAGTAAACGCATTGCAGCTGGAGGGTCGATGTGTGTAGGATGAAGTGAATAAGTGGAACAATTCAAATGAAACAATTCGATCCAACAAAAGACGATATTCATAGGCGTATTTTTAAAGACTGGTAATACATATTTTGATGATTAATGCAGTCTGCTAGGACAGATTGCATGTTTTTTGCGCATTACTCGATTCTTTAATTGTACGTTAACAAAAGAGATTTTTCATAGAGAGTCTCTCTCTCCTGCATGCCTGACATTTTTCGACACACATAATGCTGAAAGGTATGAATAAATACCAACCTTATTGTCATGCACTGTCCAGCTGACTGAAGGATCCGGTTCAGCCCTGTATGTGAGTTCAAATTGAACGGGCTGGCCAACTTTAACCTTGATTGGCTTGATTCCAAACTTGTCAATCATCGGTTTTACTAAAATAATAAAATAACTGGGATAAGGGATTTGAAAGCAGTCAAAAGTAGGTTAAGATTAATGAGTCCTGCGCGTTCAAGGGTATATGCATTCATGACACAAAGTGGAGGACATTGAGGGAGGGCTCCTGTTAAAAGAATTTATCATTTCTAGACAAGTGCTTAGTATTCATAAAGAGATGAACTTGGATCAAATCGGATAAAAAAACTGCCCAATCATATCGATGAATAATGTGTAGAGATCTATCAAGTCGTCTAAACAATAATATCAAAATAACACAGAAATCAGGTAATGAACCTTTAGAGTCTTTACGCTGCTTATTTCAGTCTTAATAAAGGTTGTCTATTAAAAAAAATAAAAAAATAGCTCGTTAATAAAATTCAAGTCTTTCACTGCACCATAGGACAACAGAAGCTTACGGAAACGTGGTTTAGCAATTATAGGAAGAGTGGCCTCGCTAGGCTTTGAGTCTCCAGCTTTGTTGACAGCAACCACGCGGAATTCATACTCTTCACCCTCTGTGAGGTCAACACGTGCCTTGGGCTCTCTGGCCTCCTTCAGTTGTGCCCACTGTCCTTTTGATTTTGGTTTGGCCTCAATGACATACTTAGTAATGGGTGCTCCATTATCACGCTTTGGTGGAGTCCACTGAAGATCAGCATGGTCTTTGTCCCAATCGGTAACCTGAAATATGAAAAAACTTTGCATTAGCATAGGCTAATTAAAATAAAGTTAGTAGCCCTAGCTGAAAATATGAGCAAGAATCTGTGGTAAAACTGGTTAGATGAGGCTCAATTTAAATAGATGATAGGTAACTGAGAGAATTAAACGGTTTAATACTGAAAATATCCTTCATTTAAAATTATTACTTTGTCTGAGTTCCCTTTTTGAGGTTTTTCTTATTACAAACTTAAACTTAAAATATAAAAAAACTGTAATCACACGATAAAAACTGTAAACTGTATTTTGAGTTCCTTATGAATTCCTTATGAATTCCTTATGATTCTAAACCAACTGTTAAATAAGACTTAGCACTTGTTTGGATATTTGGCAAATTCCAGTTAGTTCACCATACTTACGTCAGAGCTAGAAGAAAACCCAATTCATATTAATGTATGGGCAATTTCTCAATGATATTGAATAACTTCTGCTATTCTCAAATCTGTTAAGGGCAATTTTATGTTCCCGTATTAATAATTAAACTAGATAACTTAATAACTACAAGTCTTACTAGCCGTATTACTCAAATGTATCTTTGCGATTTGCAACTTAGGAGGAAATATGGTTATGCATTTTAAAGGCTTTCTTCCAATTGCTTAAATATCTACCGCTAAGATAATTCAGTTTAAAATACAATCAATCTGGTCTGCGAGCGCTTGACATATTTTTGACACTAACTTTAATCTTGAAAAAATACAACGATTTCAATTTTATATTGTTCATTTTTGCAATATTATGGGAGTTCACATTTCCTTTAAATTCTTACAAGTGTTAGGCCTCCACCAACGAAGATAGGTAAGATCCTCTTTTGGATTTTCGATAATTTAGATTTTTGTGAATAAGATAGTTTATATTTTTTTCTAGCTTTTATAATCATGATTTCTCCTTTAATGGACCATTGTAGAAAGCGTGTTAGCTATTTACATCAGGATGAATTATGACATTACAAAAAGGTCTAATCAACTATTCGTTTGCTGCTGGTGGGAACTATCTGATGGATTCACATTCTTTTTTGTGTATTCCCTAAAATGATCCACATTGTCGTAGATAGTTGCATAAACGAACTACACTATGGATACAAAGCACAAAGTTAAAAGCTAAAATTTTACCGTTTTTCTAAAGTTTAGATTTTTTGATCGGGCAAAGGACTTCAAAATTATTACCACTATAGCCGAAACCACTGCTATCTGTTTACAGTGTACGGGGCAGGAGCATAACATTAAGGAATTATAGCATACTGAAAAAAAAGATACAAATGAGAAGGCCCTGATTACACGGCTTCCTTGTCTAGCAGATGCTGGATGTGGCATAGAATCGCGGTAAATTTCTGTCCAAAGCATTCAAGGTTGCACAAAGATACTAATCTTTCGCCCGCATCTAGTGCCAACATGTTAAATTTCCGATGCATCGTGGAAATTATTGAAAAAGTATGTTTGTCTTTGCGATTTGACTATAAGAATGTGTGTTTTCACTAAAATTTATATTTAAGTGTTGGATGAAGCAGCAAACAAATGGTTTGGTGACCAAACAGGTCATGTTCTTATCGGCTGGAGACGCAGAATGAGGAGAATTTCTCGAATAATATATATAAACAAGATTGTTACGAGCTCTTATTTGACAAAAGACTAAGCATAAGATGACACAGGCAGTACTATGCAAGTCTGTGCAGAATTTATCTATTTTTCCAGCTAAGTTACATCAAGTTATATTCGAAATTGAGTACATTATTTCGTATTTTAAAGGCTGGTTAACACTTGATTCAACTTTCATAATCAGTCATTCCCTAATAAAAGACAAAATATAATAAAAGTTTCGCCTTGATGAGGGCCAAAATGCAAGTTTACTGAAACCTCCTACAAATATCAACAAAAGAATTTGGTTCGAGTAGTGAATGAGTCCTATGTAACATTGGCTAAAAGGTTGAAAATTCAAAGAAGCATCAGCTTAACAGAGTTCTGGTCTAATATGGGCTTTGTAGGGCAAGGAGTGTCATTCAGTTAAAAAAACAGGCCTAAGTTGGAGCCTGCTATTCTCCTGCCCAAATTACTCCTAAATGATTTGCAGAAGGATTGCATTTATCTAATAGACCAAATGTATTTCTATTAACTTCCCTCCGATAAGAGAGTTTACTTCATTCGCGGGCTTTGTGCAGCTTAATTCCTATCCTGCAACTGCTGATAACCATGGCAGCCAAGGAACTTGTGGGCCAAGGATGCCAGAGATAAATGATAGTTTAAAGGTTAAAAGTACAGACTGGATTTAATATTGATACAATATTCTTAAAAAATTATGCCGCACAGACAGACAAAGATAAAATATTGCAAAAAAGCAAGCCTTTATTTCCAGTTATCACGGATATTTCGACTCATGCTAAAAACATGATTAAGGAAAGCATGATAGACGAAAGAATATTTACTTCAAGTCCTGTAGGAGAGTCTGGTGGATCACAAACATCTCTGGCGAGGGTAGCTTTCTCGGTCTCTAAATTATCGCTTTCCCCCTCGTCGTTTACGGCACGTACACGAAACTTGTACTTGTTCCCCTCAATCAGTTCTGGAACTTCACATTTTGGCTCCTTAACCGTCTTTACAAGCTTCCATTGGCCGTCAGCCAGATCCATTTTCTCGACGATGTAGTGCTTTATAGGGTTGCCCCCATCGTCTTCACAAGGCTCCCATTCAAGCGTCGCAGCATTTGCAGATATTCGAGTTAGCTCAAGTGGACCCCTTGGTTTACTCGGACGATCTAGATAAACATAAAATCGCAATTATTATAATCAAATAGCTGAATATCAACCTACATAGTCCACAGTTTAAAGTTCTATAGAAACCATGTCGAACATGCAAAAATTTTAACACTTTATTTTGAAGCTTTAAGAAGTATTTAAAATTAGTTGTTCATTATTTTGTAAAACCAAGTGGACAAGTAGAGGATTAAAAATTGAAAAAGTAAAAAAAATATAAGCAAATAAATTTATGCAGAGAGTCAACACTAAGTCCATCATTTAAGACGATTATAAGGCCAAAGTAACCCTTTTGGAAATGAATAAACTACTTTTTCTACCCTAAATACTACTTCCATATTTATAAGAGTAACATGAAGTCAAAGATGGAAAAAAACAATAAGCTGGAGAGCAAATGCATTAGTTCTCCAGTAGAACTACTATAATGGTACAAATTACA